CCTGGATTGCAGGAATGGCTCCTCAATCCCAGATTTCAGGGATCTCTTGTTGTGCTCAGAGCTGTCACCACTTTGCTTCCCACGTTGCCAAGCTGGATCTTTCCCTGGATTTTTCCCTGGATCTTTGGAGTGCTAGAGAATGGCAGTGCTGCCACCCTGAGTATTTACAACCACTCCTCCTCCTCTCCTCACACCTCCAACACTTCCTCTCCTCTACCTTTCTACCACATGCAAGAACCCCTTGGTTGCCTCCAAGTCCTGCTTCCCGATGGGAAGTGTTTCATTTCCAAAAGGCAACAAAAAAAAAAAAAAAATCTACCTTCACTGCCTGCTACCCCCTCTACTCACTGCTCCCCAAACCCTTTTACAACGTGCCTACAACCTTCCTACACCCTGGAGTAAAGCAGTTCTCTTTCAGTAGTGTCTCCTCCCAGCCCGAGCATTGCTCCGGGGTGATGTGAGGGACAGACCCCGGAGCACGAAGGATCAAGTACTGGAAAGGAAATGCCAAGTCTGAGCAACAAAAATACAAAAAAATAAAAAAGAAAAACCAACCAAAAAAACCAATCAAAGAAAACAAAACAAAACAAAAAAAAAAAAACCCCACCCAAAATCCCGACCCCCAAACTCAAAACTAATAAAAAAATTAAATAGTTGGCAGGATACAAGAGTGAGACAGAGGAATGTACAAAGGACACAAGAGATCAAAGATTCCAGTAGGTGAATTGAGAACCTGTTGAACCTGGGGTCTGTTTTTTTAGGATTTCTCCTTTTGGAGCACGCAGATTTGCAGGAATTGCCATAACCACACACCAGGGTGACTTCAGGTGCCGAGTCCTTTAAAGGACTTTTGCAGTGTTGATCAAAACCCTCGGTGCTGCCCAAAATTCCACTTCACTCTCCATCCTCTACCACATCCGTGGAAAACTCCCAGGAACCCAAATTTGCTCTTTTGGAAATCCCACGTGGATTCCAAGTGTAAAAACAGACCCCAGCTCAACAGTAACTGCACACCAGTAGCTGCCATTCCAACATAAACCCAGGATTTGATCCGTGGAGCTCCCAGGGTGCTCCCGGTACAAAAATGTACAAAGAATTATTTATAAATTAACAGTTTTCCCCCCAGGGTGACACACCAGGGCTCCAATTTTTTTTTTTTTTCCTTACACCAGCGTTTCTTTCCGTTTCCCACTGAGCTGCTTCTCCCTGGATTTTCTGTGCCCAGACGAGGTTCTGTGGGATTTGAGCCCTTTGGTTTCCCCCGAGTCCAGGACGGAGCCGCACTCGGCGGCGCCGCTCTCATCCAGCTCCATGTGGGATATTCCTGGCTGGAGCTGCTGGGCTGGGATGTTGGGCACGGAGGGGTTGTTCTCCTCTGACTCCTCGCTCAGCTCAGGCAGCTCCTTGAGCTGGGGGGCAGCAATGTTCCTGTGGAAGGGGGCGATGGCCGTGCGGATGCAGTTCACCCACTGCTGCTTGTGGAACACGTCGTTGGCCTGCAGAGTGTGGGACTGGCCAGGGCTGGGCTCTTGGAAACGCACTCGGAAAATGTTTTTGGCTGCAGATTAAAAGAAAAAAAAAAAAAACAAAAAAAAAGCAGATCAGTTCTGAGGTGGCATTTAGAGTTCCCATTGGTAGGTTTGAAATCCCAAAACCCGGCAGGGAGACAAAGACGTTTTCTAATCCCAGCGCCGGCCGTGAACTCATCCACCATGAATGATGAGCTGAGTGGATCCGTACCTTTATCAGAATTCCCAAAAGCTCCTCGGAAGGAGCCTCCCATTTTGACATCCCCATCCTGGAGGTCCTCGAGGAGCAGCTCCTGCACGGGGATGGGCTGGCGGTACACCTGGAACGCCTGGCGCTCGTTGCGCGTCACCGGCCGCGTCAGCACCAGGATTTCTTGGAAGAGGAAAACGTAGAGCTTCTGCAAGAGAAAACATCCCAATATTCACTGTGTGCTCTCCACGAGGCCACACAGCCTGTGCGATTCAAGGCCACCTTATCTGTAGTTTCACCCATCATCATTTTCAGTCTCCTGTGACAATGCCAAGGTCTGGCACACAGCGGGATTACATCAGCAGCTTTTATTGTTTTATTGATTTGATTTGACTGATCCCTAGAAAGGGAATGATGATTCCCAGACACAGGGACAGGATGACTAGGAGCCATATCTTTCCTGAGAGCATGGAATGCCTCGTGTGCAGGAGTAAAACGGACAATTAGACAAAAAAAAAAAAACCCAAAAAAACCCAAAAAACAACAAAACCCAAACCCAATCAACAAAGAAAACACGAAAAGATTTGAGGTTGAAATCAGGACAAAAGGCAGCAAAGCCAAGCCTGGAGCACAGTGGGTGGGAGATAAACTCCAGGCAGCCCAGCCCAAAGCCAAACAGGCTTTTTTGCAGGAACCCTTTTGTTTGGAAGAGCAAGGGCTCCTAATGGGGAATGTCAGAGCACCTGGAAGTAAACAGAGGCAGGAAATCCCTGTGGATGGAGAGCACTTTCTCTGGGCATTCCGTGCTAATGATTTTCCAGCTTCCCCAAAGCCAACTGTGCAGCTGTCAGCAGGAAACTTTCCCTAACACCCTCAAACGAGGCTGCCCATAAGGGATTTCCTCTGTTTTTTTATCCAATGTTTAAACCATCCCTAAGGATGGAAAGCTCCTGCTCTGAGGGAAGGTTTGGGAATTAATCAGTGCAAAATGAGGGACTCACGTGTCCATTTTTATTCTTCAGCTCCCCGTGGCACAGTAAAGCTTTGCTGCCTTCAATCCTTGGATCCTTCTGCTTCTCATCCAGGTATTCCAGCTTGTCAATGTAATACTGGCACTCGGACTCGCCCTTCTTCAGGTTGATATCAGACAGGACTCCTTGGATTATGGATATCTAAAAGCCCAAACAAATGATTAAGAGGGATTAACAAACCCTGTGTGACCTCTGCTCGTGCTCCTTCCCAACTCCAAAGGATGCAATGCACGTGGATTGATCCCTCACTTTCCCTGTCACACAAAGAAAAAACCCCCGCTGGGAACTGCTGAGGCTTTAAGGAAGATTCTTGGAGCTCCCAAACCACATCTTTAGGTGAGAACAAGCACATGGGGATGACTCACAGCTTCTTCCAGGATGTGGATGTCGGGGTGGTCTTTGGGAGTGTGTCTCAGGATCTCCTTGAGGAGCAGGGGGTATTTGACCAGGCGGCTGCGAGGGATGTCCAGGAAGCTCCAAAGGTCCAGCTTGCGGCTGAAGGGAGACTCGAGGCAGCGCTGCAGGAAATCCTGCACCCTCCTGTCCTGCTTCTTCTGATCCAGGAGGGCTTTGGCTGCCAGCTGGTTGCTGCAGTAGCCTTTGTAGGCGTGCAGTCGGGGTAACTGCAGGGAACAGAGGAGATTTAGGAGTCAAGATTCCCTGTGGGAAAAGCAGATGGCACTCACGTGGCAAACTCGGCGAGTTCTACAGCCCTCACTGGGCTGTTTTTCCCAATAAAAAGGTTAAAGGGGGATCTTGTGAGGAGGATGGGCACAGGGAGCCCGTGAAACTCCCAGTGTTTGGATCTTGTGAGGATGAGGATGAGCACAGGGAGCCCATGCAGCTCCCAATGTTTGGGTCCTGTGAGGAAGAGGAGGATGAGCACAGGGAGCCCATGCAGCTCCCAGTGTTTGGGATTAGCAGTTAACACTCCTGGAATCACACTGGGACAGAGTCCAGGAGACAGAGACACTTGAACCCTACATCAGCAAATCATTCCAAGTCTCTGGGGTGAAATCAGGGCCCATTCCAGCCAACAGAATCCCATTGTTTGCAGCACTGTCAGGATTTCCCTTCCAATCTTGCACTGAGGGTCACAAAAGCCCCAGAGCTTTGCAGCTTCTGCCTTTAAAAACTTTCTCTAAGCTCGGTTTTAGCCCTTTGATTCCCAGTTCTGAACTCACCCACTTGACAAGGATGGGCCCAATCTGCTCCACGGTTCCATCTGGTTTCGTTGCTTCTCCCAAACTTGCCAGTAAGTCTGGAATGGAAACACAAAAAGAGGAATTGCAGCAATGCCCCAACGAGTAACAGGAGAAAGCAGAGAGGTTAAATCCCAGCGAGCACAAAGCAACCCAGCTGCTCTTACCTTCGTGCAGAGGAATGTAGGAATCCAAGTCCCCAAAAATGTGGGTGAGTTCCTCCTCAGACATGATGGAGAGTTTCAGCATGGGATCATGGTAGGCCTGTCAAATAAAATATATTCAAAGTTATTCAAATGTGCCGAGCCCCAAAGCTGAGGGTTTAAACTGAGGGGATTTATCAGGTGAAACAAGTGAAGGCAACAGAAGTGATTTGATGCTGAAAGATTCACTCTGTGAAGTGTGGAAGACTTAAATGAGAAGGATTTTCCTGTCTGGACTGTTCCCAGCAGGGACAGGGAGTCCCCAAGCAGCTCTGCACAATCCTTTTATGGCTGGGTTTGGTGCAATCTCAGCAGAGCTGGCCCCATGCTCACGTCAGCTTTCTGGGCCAGCTTTCAAACTGGGGGTTCTGGGGCTGATAAAGCTCCCAGGTCATGTTTGCAGGTACAAAAAAAAAAAAAAACCCTCGTTATTCCCTGGAATGTCGTCAGTGACTGCAGGAAAAATCCCCACTCACCTTTCTGGCCAGCTTCAGGTCTTCAATCAGGTCCTGCTCTCCCCTGGACATTTCATAGATGGCCTGGGAGGAAGGGGACAAAGCACCCGGAGTTATTCTGAATGCCAGCCTTTCCCTTTCAGCTGCCATCATGTACAGCCTGCCCTCAACATCCCCTTGGCCACCCCAATCCTTCGGTGGCACCTGGACGTGACAACCCTGAGTAAATCAGCTTTCCTAGCCCTGAGAAAGCAGCTTTGCTTCCAACTGTGTGAAAGCCCCTGATGGCCCCTGCACGAGCCAAATTAAATATTAGAGCCTTTTAAATCACTGCTTTTTAGCCAGGCAAGGCTGCAAACACAAAACCCCCGAAACCGCAGAGGTCAAATCCCAGGCGGCTTCCGGCGGCTCCTGTGCTGTCTCCAGAAGATTTGGCCAAGAACTCCAGGAAAAAGGCAAGCCAAGGCCTTGCTGCTTGGCCTCCAACCAATTGTCAGGAGCTTTAGGAGAAAAGACAGCTGGCTCTGTGAGGAACCTGAGGTTGGGGCAGCTGCAGAGCAGCCAGCGGGGCCGGGGGCTGGGATTTCAGGAATGCCGTGGAAAGTTTGGCATCTCCAAAGGGTCACTCTGGATTCAAGAGTGGAATCCTCCTTTTCCCATGGTTGATGCAGACATTGATCTTAGGTTTAGGTGCACAGGAAGATGCAGCCCCCCCCCCGTCTAAAGGTTGTTACTCCTGTCCCAGCAGGGGAAGGGACAAAAGGCCTCGGCTGCTGTTCCCAACCCCATTTTCCAGGGGCAGTTACCTCCTGGCGCTTGATTTCTTTGGTGCTCAGGGATTCTTTCGTGTTGATGTCCAACATTTCAGACCAAAGGACACTGTTCCTTCTCTTGGGGGGAGTAGGAGCAGCAGATCTGCTGCATGACTTCTGGGCACAGCCAGGGGATTTGCTGTCGCTGCGAAGGGTGAACGACTGCGGGGATTTAAAAAAAAAAAAACAAACAAAACATTAAGAATATTAAAAACAAACATTTCACAAGTACTAGAGTATTATCCACAGCACTCCCAATCCTTCATCCTTCTGGCTCGTCCAGGGCAGGAAAACACACCCAGACACTTTTCCTCAGATAAAGGAAAGCTTTAATCAAGCTTGGCAAGGTTTTCCATGCCCCTCTCCCTGCACTGATCCGCTAGGGAGGAAGATGGGAAAGGTTTATTTCCAAGGTACGAGGAAGTAAATAAACAAGGATCATAACTCTTCCTATGGAGAGGTTAATCAGAAGCCACTTGAACCTTGCCCTGGTGTTTTGCAGGATTTCCAAGAGCCAGACGTGCTGTTATCTGCAGGTGTGAGCACAGAGCTCCTCAGAAAACACTGCTGGGACAGCGCTGGGCACAGGGGGCAGCTCCCATCATGCTGCAGCACACGTGTGCCAAGGCCTGGGGCACTTTATCAGCTCTTTATCTCAGGCAGTTGGTTTTATTTACTGCTCAACCTGTTTGTACAGCACTTTATACCCGTGCACTCCTGAGGTAGCACTTTTCACCCCCAAGGTCCATCAAAGGTCACCGAGAGCTCCACGAGACACCTCCAAATCCCACGGGGTGCCTCTTCTACCCCATCCAAGCAATCCCTCGGCCAAATCTCCAGCCTGTGCTCGGTTTGTACCTGGATTGTCTGCCCAAAACGTCGAACTGCCCCATTTCTGACAGGAGAGATCAGGTTTGCCAGGGAGGTGACTCGTGCTAAAGGCCGGACCCGTTTCGTGCTTGGCTCCTGCAAAGCAAGCAGAGAACAAATTGTCCTGGCTGTGCCTCCCTAGGAAATTTCTCAGGCAGGTTCCAAAAGCACAAACCCACTTAAGGAGTGGCAAACACAGCAAGGAGAGTGTTTGGAAGCAGCTATTCATCTTTCAAGGCTATAAATATTTGTCTGAACTTTAAGGCTGCAATTAAACTGCGGAGGTTTTTGCCCAGAGTTAAAAGAGGTGAGAGAACATCAGTGAGAATTCAAAATAGGGCTCCAGCAGGGACTGTTATGCTTTGAACAGAAATAGATTAAAGTGTTCTCTGACACTATGTGGCAGCTAAAGATGGAGCTTGGGATCTGCTTCTCCATTTTCTCATCTTTTCCTCTGGAGAAAGAATGTGTTTTTCCATTTTATTTTGGAGAGCAGAGCAGCAGTGGGGGCCCAGCACAGCTCCTTTAACAACCAGCAAACAACCACAAGCTGAACATTCCTGTGAGGGACATGCACGCAGATAAAGCTGAAATCCTTCAGTTTGCAAGGTTTCCTCCTCCACCCCCCTGCAATCACTGTAATTTTTCTTACACCTTGTTTAGATTTGAAAGTTGGAGCTTCTGCTTTTCTCCACCGCTAATCCCCGCAGGGAGCTCAAGTCTGTCCCGACCCAAACGCTGCCAAGAAAGAGGAAACGCCCCTGGAAAGCTCCTGCTGCTTCAGTTTTGAAAATTCTGTTGGCAACCCGACGTGTTTGAGATCAAAAATATTGTGTGGTGAGGGTTGGGCAGGAAAGGTGTGCACAGGGAGAAGCTGGGAGGAGATGGGAAGAGTTAAGGCTTGGAAAAGGCTGCAGGATTGTCCTGGTGCTCCCCAACATCTGGCACGGGGCTGGATGTGACTCATCCTCATGAGACAGCTCAGCACGAAGCTCGGATCAGGACAGGGAAGCAGCCCCAGTTTGGGTTCAGCTCGGTTAAAACTGGTTAATTATTGCTGAATTTGAAAAGGCAGAGGCTGTGGAGGATGCCGAGGACGAGCTCTGGGCTGTTTCCATCCCCAGCCTTCGCTCAGGAGTGACAAATGTCGAAAACAAAACTTAAAAAAAAAAATAAAAAAAAGAAGGGGGACTAGGAACACACAGAGCTGGGTTTGAGTCATGAAGACTGAAGGAACATAAAAGCTGTGTGTGTGTAAGATCTGATTTCGGCAACTCGACCCCAGCAGCGGCCCTGCCCACACGCGGTGTTGGGCAATAGAGGAGGAGGAGGAGGAGGAGGAGGTGAGCTCACCCTGAGCTCACCCTGAGCTCAGCCTTCAAACTTGCAGGGGGGGAACATGAAAAAGAAACAATTTATGAGCCGTGCAGGAAGAAAAGAGCTCTTGGCACAGCACGGAGCTGCGCTAGAAATGTTTAGGGAATGTCAAGAGTTAGGAGGGTACCATAAAAATGCGGAAAAGCTGTAAAAGTGTCCTCGATCACGGGATGCTCAGCTGGGTTTAAGTGGGACACCAGGGACTCCTCCCCTGAGCTCCAGACAGCGACAGCCAGGAAAAGGTTGGAAAGTTAGGCCAGGCTCAAAGACAACAAGGAAGGTTTAATTGACTGCAGATGTTTCTGAGTGGAAGAAAAGGGAGGTATTTACTTCTAGAAAATCATCTATCACTGCAGGAGGATAAATAAAGGGACGTGGGCCAGCAGAAGCTTAACAAAGTGCAGGACTGAAAGCAGGGAAGACGCAGACACAAAACCACCCACGGCTCCGGCAAGGCCAGGGATAAAAATAGCCCGGAGAAGCAAAATGTGACACTGCGAAGGGAAAAAGCAAAAAAGCTGCAGCAGGTCACTGGGGAAGGGTCAGCGCTGCAGAGATCCAGTGACAAGGGGCCGGGAGCCCAGGGAATGTGGGAATGAGGGAATGTGGGAATGAGGGAATGTGGGAATGAGGGAATGAGGGAATGCCTTCCCAGCACATCTGTGCCCGGCTGTAGTGACACGTGCACGTGCCCAAAGGGCTGGCGGCACGAATTGCTCAATTCAGCTCAGCAAAAAGCCGTTTTTCCTCTGTTAAAGGAGAAAACAACAACAAAAAAATTTCCCCACTTTGTGTCTGAGACAGAGTCAGACACATCTGGACTGCCAAAAAAACCCCGTCTGGCTCTTGCTCTCGTGCTGAAGATGGTTTGGTGCGGAGCAGGGAGGAGGAAAATCGAAGGCCGGTGCTCGGGAACTCCCCCCTGGCTGAGCTCGGTGTAAGCCGACACTCCGGGCGGCTCATGCTGCGGATAACTCGGGCTCAGGACGGGTTTTTTTTTTTTTTGTTTTTTTTTTTTTTAGCTCTGTACTTGCAAACAATGAGTCTCCTGTCTCCACGCCGTCTTCCTTACAGGAGCCGGATTACAATAAAGTCTGGGAGGTTTCTGTAACAATCCTGGGGTGTTACAGCACTCACGAATAATTAAAACCCCGGCGGGGTCAACAGCTCCATCGGGAATTATTATTATTATTTTTCCAGAGGACTCTTATTAAAAGTGAATTAACACATCACGAGCACAGCTACTAAAGCTAATTTTGTGCCAGGCGAGATTTCACACTCCTGAAATTCCTTCAAGTGCTTCTAAGTGCAGGTTAGCTCATGAAAAGATTGCACCTTGCTGGAAAGAAAACCAGGTTGTACTTTTGAGCAAGGGCTTTTTTTTTTTTTTTTTTTTTTTTCCCAGCAGCACGCCTGCAACCTTTCCCCTGATCTGGGTAATAATTAGTGGTTTTTATAAGGATCTCTTACTCGAGAGCAATTGCTACGTGCCACACACAATTTCACACCAGCTCCACGCAAACACGGTGACCAATGGCAAAACCACGCGTGGAAAAGAACTTTTCCTACCGAGCCAATTCAGCAAAAAAAAAAAAAAGGCGATTTTAGTCAGCAGCATGAATAATTCCTGCCAGAAATCACCTGACCACGTCGATGGAAGGGGCTTGGTGAGACGCGGGCTCGGACCTTTCCCAAATCCAAGGGAATGCACGGATAACCCCAGCTCAGACAGCAAAGTTGGCTCGGGGCATTCAGAATCCCCTCCCAGAGCTCGGCTTTCTGTTCTTTCTCCCCCAACATCTGGTTTCCCTTTTGCACAATGACATTGCCCAAGTTTGGCTGTTGCAAAGCCGGGATTTGCTGAGGTTGGTGACTCGGCGCTGAGCCCTCAAACCCCAGCCATGTCTGGAGACGCCTTGGTTATTTTTTTTTGTTTTTTTTTTTTCTAACTTTTCCACCTCATCTCGCCACTAATCTGAGCAATAAACCCAGCCCAAGGCAGCCGGGCCCTACCTGGCTGCTGAACTTTTGCTCCTGTCGCAGCAGGAGGGTTGGGAACACCTCCCAGGAACGCAATTATTACAATCTACATAACAACACGCGATAAAAATAACAATACTTCAATCAAACAAACCAGCCCTCAAAAGCCCCACGAAGGGTTTTTACTCGGTTTAAGCACCTAATTAGGAAAAATCCTGTCAGTGGAAAGAGCGCTGAGAGACACAGTGGGCTTTTTAATGGAGATAGGAGATCTTTAAATGAAAACAGGCGAATTTTAAATAAAAAGCCACCTGAGCGAGCGGGGTCAGGTGAGGCGCCCACATTGGTTTTGGCTCACTTTTTGGAGGCTAAAAGCTTAAATACACATATGTAACGTATATATAGGCGTATAAAACGTATATTAAAAACATACACACATATACATGGACCTAAACATAGATACAGGTTTTAAAATCGCTGGGTGAGGCGCCAGATCGGTTCTGGCTCTGACTGGTCTCACTCTTTGGGGGCTATGAGCTTAAATACATTCTATGTATATATACATATATATGTGTGTATATATATATATATACACATAAAAAATACCTATACATAGAGATGAACTTAAAATATATAGATAAACAGATAGATAGATAGAGAGAGAGTATTTTAGGGCGGGCAGAGGGAGGTTACCCCGCTCCCTGCCCGGTTCGCCGCCTCCCCTCAGAGCGGGAAGCTGAGGGGGCTCCCCCTCCGCACCCTCCCCTCAAATAAATCCCTTTTCCCCCCTCTCCAGCCCCAGTTCCCCTCACCTCCTGCTCCCTGAAGTGCTGGTTCTGCGCATCGATGACCCGGATAGTCCTTTTGATGGGCAGCAGCCCGCCCAGCTCGTCGTGAGCCACCATGGCGGCGGGAAGGCCCCGACGCTGCCTCAGCCCGCGCTCATCGCTCTCTGAGCCCGCCGCGCGCCGCGCCCCCGACCTCACCGCAGGGGGCGGGGCCTCCGCGGAAACCACGCCCACTTCGTGACAAACCACGCCCACCCCGACAGGCCACGCCCCGTCTGTGCCCCGGGCGCGCCGGAGCCACAAATTATTCCAAACTTGTCCCAAAAAAACCGGGCCTAAAAAAAGGCTCTGCTCGTTCCTGTCAGTGCTGAGTGCAAATCTGGGCTCCTCACGACAGGAGGAGCCATGTGAGGATGGCTCAGGGCACGGAGCATCGCTGTGCCCAGGAGAGGGGACACTGCCTGGGGACCCCATCCATGGGATCCAAATCCAAAGGGAGATCCCAAAGGATGGAGCAGGGGCTGCTCAGGGACCCCATCCATGGGATTCAAATCCACAGGGAGATCCCAAAGGATGGAACAGGGGCTGCTCAGGGACCCCATCCATGGGATCAGTGTCCACAGGGAGATCCCAAAGGATGGAGCAGGGGCTGCCCAGGGACCCCATCCATGGGATCAGTGTCCACAGGGAGATCCCAAAGGATGGAACAGGCAGGCTCTGATCCCAGGAATTGCCCCTGGATGTGGGGCAGAGCCCAGAGGGGCTGGATCTCCTCCCTGGGGACATTCCAGAGCCACCTGGACACTTCCCTGTGCCCTGGGCTCTGGGATGGCCCTGCTGGAGCAGGGAATGGGACCAGTGACCCACTGTGGTCCTCTCCAGCCTCATTTATCCTGGAATTCTGTGGAAAACGGGACCTCCAAGAGTCTCTGCTGCAAGGAGGGCAGAGATCCCACAGAGCCAAGCATATATTTGGATTTTTTCCCCCATTTTTAGTGTTTTTTCCTGGCACTTACAGCGTGGCGGGACAACCTCCTCCTAACAGCAGCTCTCCTTGCCAAGGCTGGAATATAAAACCTTTGCTGCTGTAAAATGTTGGAAAAAAAAAAATTAATAATAATTCTTGTCTAGACCTGTGCTTTTAAGTCTGCTGTGAGCTTTAAAGTTGTGCTGGGGCTGGGCTGAGCCTCTCCCCCTGTTCTCCCAGGGGAGCCTGTCCTGGCAGGCCTGGCTGGAGCTGCAAAGGGTTTGGATTTTCTGTTTGTTTGTTCAAGTCCTTTTTATTCCTGGCACCGTTGCAAATCTCTGAAATAAAAACTTTCTTGTGCTGGTAAAAATAAACCGGAGTTGATTTGGCTGCCTACCTGTGCTGATCAAGCTGGTGCTTCAAGGAGGGAAATTTGGGGTGGCTTCCAGCAGAAGGTTTGCAAACAGCGTTTTGTAAAGTCAGGAGGAGGAGAAAAAGGAAAATCCTGCTGTCCCTTCCCCTGGATTTGGAATTTTTGGCTTTGTTTGCTTCTCTCAGCAAATCTGCACCCACTTAACCTCTGCCATGCAAGGCCAGGACATGGAGGATTCTCAGAAATTCAGGATACACTGAGTTTCCACTTGCTGAAAGGACAGACTGTGACTCTTTGAGACACAAAAATGCTTTCCTGGATTACTGAAATCTGCTATTTTAAACACCAAAGTGATGCTGACTCAAGGCAGGAGCAGACAAACCCTCCCTTGAATTGCTCTTTTTTTTTTTTTTTTTGTTAAGAGAGTATCAAACCCATTCATTTCTGCTAAAACCCGAGCTTTAAGCCTTGTTAAACTCAGCCTAAAGATTCAGGAGCTCATTTGTTTCCAAGGAGATGGAAAAAAGCCGATTAAAAGCAGGGGATGAAGAGGCAGCAGGCGGGTGTGAAGCAGAGTCACACCAAGGTGACACCCAAACATTTCTGAGCAGCAGCAGGACGTGATGTCCCCATCCCAGAGCTCCTCCTGCTCCCAGCAGGGATTGGTGACAGGCACTGTCCTGGGCCAGGGCCCGTGGGTGAGCCCTGACTGTCTGGTGACACCTGGACAGGTGACAAAGGTGGTGATGCAAGGGACAGGTGAGGTCACGGGGAGGAAATGTCCCTGGGCTGATGTGACAGAGCTGCAGGGCTGGGGTTGGTGTCCTGGGAAATGCCTTCCTTTGGAGAAAGGGAGGCCAAGGCCACAATTCCCTGACAGGAGCAGCTCCCAGCTGGCCCAGACTGGGATGGGAACAGAGTTTTGGGACAAAATCCATCCTGAGGGATACAGATGATCACCCTAAACCCATCCCAAAGCATGGACATGGCCATAAATCCATCCTGAGGGATACAGATGATCACCCTGAACCCATCCCATGGGATGGACATGGCCATAAATCCATCCTGAGGGATGGAGATAAACACCAGAAATCCATCCCAAGGGATGGAGAGGATCACCATAAACCCATCCTGAGTGGTGGAGATCACCATAAACCCATCCAAGAGATGGAGATGAGGACCAGAAACTCATCCCAAGGGATGGAGATCATGACTGAGTGATGGCCATGACCACCATAAACCCATCCTAAG